CACACACACACACACACACACACACACACACACACACACACACACACCACTTGTTGCCAGCCCTGCCTCTGATGTCATTCTGTGAATTGGGACTGTCTCTGCTGCAGGGCATTATGGGATACCTTATAAGAACTTAATGACTCCTTAAGGTATATCTTCTGCTAAGTAATGGGAAAAGAGAGGGAGAGGGATGAACACACACACCCTCACCCACACACATATCTGCCCAATCTCCACCTTCTAACTCCAATTCCCATGCTACACTTCTCACTCCATCTAGTGATTTAGCAGCTCTGACCGCCTAATTGGCTGCTCACCTGCTTGGTCACACCACCGCTGATAGACATAGTGTGCTGTCACTTTCAATGTCAACTTATGTTTCCGATCACATTTCTTCTCCCAGAAGGTTGAGGTTGCTCTGATTCAAAATGGATTTTATGTAACTCTGATTTTTAATTTCTGTGAAGAGAGGATGTACAACAGCTCGTTCACAGTGGAAGCCTGTTGGAGCGATTCTTTGATTGGAAAAATGTAAGAACGATATCTTCAATCTATAAGGCTGTAAAGTGGACTTTAATAAGATCATCAGGGCTACAGCCTCGTCTAGTTCTCCGAGAGGATGGAGGATCAAATCTGACTGTGACAAATAAATAAACATCTAAATAAAAGAGAAGTGAATTCAGTTAAAGGGAATGAATGAATAATATGTAAAACGTGATCAAATGAAATACAAAGAAGATTGAGTTTATCTCTCATTGTCATCTCTAGACAAATGTATTCGGCTGCCATGAAGTGGATTACAACCATGACCTGTGAAGATAAATGAATCCATGCATGTCTTATTTGTTGTATACCAGCATTCACTTCATTGTCATCTCAAAGTCAATTTCCGTAAACAAGATTTTAAGACTTGCATTTTGAACAAAAAATGAAATATGCCGTTCTTTTAGCTTGATTTAGTCACTAAAACCGCTCTAAACAGTACATGAGTAAACGTGACAGCTAACAATGGTTAAAATGTTGTTAGTCATTTGAGAAATATTAATAATGAAATTATGTATACAGTTATTTTCATATTTGAATGAACGTTGTGTGGATTTTTGTATCACTTTATTGGTCTATTTAAAAAAATGTACTGGTCAGATATTTATTTAATCAGTTTAACATTTAGTTATTATTATATTATCATTATTTTGTATTTGTTGTTTTCAAATTTAAAATCTTTTTTATTTGTTTCTTTACTTTCTTTATTTATTTGTCTGTTTATAAGTAACCATTTTGTCCATTTATTATTTAGTTTATTTCATTGTTATGAAGTCACATTTGGTTCTCTCTACTTAAGGCTGATGTCATTCTCTTCCTTCCAGCTGCAGAGTAACTGTTTCTCAGAAAGCCTAATGACTTGAGTCAGAGTTACAGGCAGATACAATAAGATCT